TACCATTCTTATTACCAATGTGAAAAAAAGTTAAATTTTAGTTCTCGTTTTTGTTTTGTTTTTTGAAAAGTATTATTTAAAATGTTTAGAATTTATACATTATATTATACAGTATTTGTAAATGAAATTTGTAATTTATTCATTTTTACAAAAAATGGTTGCAAGTAGTGATTTATGCTCTATATTGTAATTATAATTTGGCAAATGTGCTTAATAGTCACGAGAATAATGTCACAATGCAATCTTAACAATGCTAAAATTAGACTTTTATCCCAAATGTTTTTTTTCTTAGATTTTAGTGCCCATGTTTTTGTGAGATTCACCCGTTCAATTCACTTTTGATAGGAGTACAAGCAATGTGTGTGGAATGCACTTGAAGACCTCAGTGACTGTATGCAATAGTGAGAGTGTTTTGGGTGCACAAGCACGTGGTGTGAAGCATTGAAGAGCACAATCAGAATGGTCACTGCAGGCTTTATCCGAACGTTTCCGAATCGGAGAGCGTCTGTCCAAAAACAAACGGGACGTCCGAACGGTCATGCACATACTGATTCCCAAGCTTCTGATTGAGGCCTGTTTGAGGAAAACGCTGGTATTGCACTTTAACCCCTCCTCCCCCTCCCTCCTTATCTTTTACAAAAAATGGTTGCAAGTAGTGATTTATGCTCTATATTGTAATTATAATTTGGCAAATGTGCTTAATAGTCACGAGAATAATGTCACAATGCAATCTTAACAATGCTAAAATTAGATTTTAGTGCCCATGTTTTTGTGAGATTCACCCGTTCAATTCACTTTTGATAGGAGTACAAGCAATGTGTGTGGAATGCACTTGAAGACCTCAGTGACTGTATGCAATAGTGAGAGTGTTTTGGGTGCCCAAGCACGTGGTGTGAAGCATTGAAGAGCACAATCAGAATGGTCACTGCAGGCTTTATCCGAACGTTTCCGAATCGGAGAGCGTCTGTCCAAAAACAAACGGGACGTCCGAACGGTCATGCACATACTGATTCCCAAGCTTCTGATTGAGGCCTGTTTGAGGAAAACGCTGGTATTGCACTTTAACCCCTCCTCCCCCTCCCTCCTTATCTTGCACTTTGCAGGCACTGTTAGGCTTCCATTCTCTAACCTCAAATGAGCGGCTCTGTGTTGTGAGATCTCGGATCAGTTTCCTTTACATAAATCCACCACACGAGAGAAACTGATGGCAGACGGGCCACCCCGAACGCCTGCCATGTGATCCGTGCGAGGGAAGCCCGTCCTCCATTCCCCAATTTAGAAAGCAAATCTATGTCAAATATGAAATGGAAATTATGTTTGAAGCCATAACGGTCCCCTTGAAGGTGACTTATGGAAGCAGTGTGTCTTTTTATTCTTCCTCAGTTTGTATAAAAGATTATAGATTGAAAAAATATATAATTTGCAACATAAATTAATTATGTATTCCAAAACCTTAATAATTCTAACTGAGGTACTTGAAATCATGAAAAAGAAATTGCCATAAAATTATTAACATACAGGTCACAAATGGTAAAAAAAGGATAAATTATTAAAAATATATTTATCTAATGAGAAAAAAATAATAAGCTAAAAGTTGCATACGTTTATTTTATACTAATACGTGTAAATGTGATCTTAATCTCATAGTTGCTTAAGAAATCTAGGGTTGGTATGTCGTGGTTTTAGGCAAAAGGTGCTAGTAGCCAATCTACCTTAGTTAATGTTGCGCATGAAATTGTGAAGCAGTTAGTCTACCTTGCCATCGAGTCCCACGTTTCTGACATGAAATACTGTAGCAGTTCTCATTTTAACTGTCCTGCATCAATGGCACATAAAAATCTTCTGTGGCTTCCGTCACACTGAAATCCCCCTACCACACTGTAAATGGTTGGCTTTTAAAATGGTGAATCTCACAAAACTGTTAAGAACGTATCTTATTTCATCCAAAAATCAAACAAATTAATAAATAAAAAAATATTAAAAAGTGAAAAATGTCAATGCAAACACACAGACACACACACACACACACACACACACACACACATATATATATATATATATATATATATATATATATATATATATATAAAATAATAATAATTAACCGTTTTTAAATTACTAGATGTTTTTTTAATAATGAATAATTATTACAAATAAATAATTGTGATGCGGTAATTTAAAAAAGGTTAATTTTTAATTATTTATTTTTAATAAATATTTGTCAATTTACTATGTAATGCAAATGTAAAACATTTTCAAATGTATTGTATTATGCGAAATGTCTAGATGCATAAGCATCATTTTCTTTAAGCAAAATATTTATTTATTTTTATTTTATAATGCAACCTTGGCATGTTCTACACATTTCTTACATCATATTTCATCCGCCACACCCTCCCAAAAATGTATAGTATAGTAAATTAATAAATAATTCTTAAAGTGCCCCTATTGTGCCATTTTTATGGTTCCTAATATTGTTTTTGGAGTCTCCTACAGAAAATATAAACATCTATTATTTATCATACGTACAGGTTGTGATTCAGTGGAGCAGCTGGTCCAAATAAACAGGCTACTGATCCATCTTTCAACAGCAAGTGTTTTGTGAATCCCGCGATGAACTCCCCGAGATTAGAGAAGCGGTCGTCAGCAGAATGACGTGTTTGTGGGCGGGGTCAAGTTGTGCGCGACCGGTCAACGTAGAACATAGGCGCGTATTATGCAAATGTGTTACCCCGTGACGTGTAGCCGTCACAGAAGTGGGATTTGAATTACTAACGACTCGTTTCAGCTGTTCAGAGTCGATTCTTTATTTTGGGAGACAATAACTTTATTTATCATGCACTTTCAGCTTTACAACTTTGCAGATCGTTTACATTCACATACAGCTACATTACATACTGCATGAAAGGCAATACTGGAAATTGGCATAACAGGGGCACTTTAAAAAATAAGTAACTAAATAAAAATCTAAATGTACTACATTACATTTTTTACACTGTCATTTGATTTTCCATTAAAATGCAACATTAACATGTTCTTCATAGGTTTATGAGATTCACCCTTCAAAGATTCACATACTATTGAGTGAACAAGAGTAGAGGACAAGGCAACGCAAGTATCCTACATGTTGCCAGGCTAAATCTGAGATAGGAGCTCAGTGTTGCTCACTCTATGACATTTCTGACTATGTTGTGTTTTATACGGTCACTGAGCTGTAATGAAACCTTAGACAAGCAATGTGCTTTGAGTTTGGCCCAGTAGAATGTATCTTTCTCAATGGAAGTTTAGTTGTCCATTCGCCATCTCATCACACGAAAGGTGGCGTGTAGTTTCCGCTAGGAATATTGTGCGTGGCTTCAATTACCCGTCTTCCTAGATTATGTGCCGTACACATATGCAGACGTTGTACGATCATGACACTGCAACAGATTTATTTCGAAATTACAGCAATAGCTTGCAGTCGAACGCACTACAGCAACGATACATATGATTTCCAAAGCTTGGTGCGAACTGTATTCGCTTTCTTTGGCTTCTTTGCTTCTTTCTTTGTGACATAGTTGCTTTAAACTATTTGAATATGATCTTGCGCTTTTCTATACAGGTCAAAGTACATGTTGAAAATGTCCTTTTGTCCAAACCGCTGTACGCAGTGTGTGTATGTGTGAGCGTGTGTGTGTGTGTGTGTGTGTGTGTGCGAGCATGAATGTGTGTATTTCTGTATTTAGTGCACTTGTAATCCCATTAAATAGGCTTGAATATGGAGTGTCGGTAGAGATTTTGGTGAATTTGATTGTGTGCTGTGGAATTTTGTACTAAGGGGGTCTGTAGAAAGTAAAGCCCCCTACCAGTTTTTAAAAAGCATTCTTTTCTTTACTTCAACTTTTGTGTGAAATGAGGATTTACGAAGTTAGACTTTGACCCATCAGAGGTCTGACGGAGAACGTCCTCAAAGAAGTTTACAAATAAAAGTCATTGTGTTCGATTAGAAATGAGGGGGTCCTGACGGCCCTGGGTTGAGGTACAAAAGGATGATCCAAAAATCCTCTAGAAACTGTTCAATCTATTAATACTTATCAAATAATGAGAGTGATGGGCAAAATGATCTTTTATTCCTTTAAAGTTTTTACCTAGGTTGGCAAGAGTTCTGAATCTAAACTATTATTTATATTATATACCCCTCAAATAATTAATAAAATGTTGACAAAGATTTGACTGACTGATTTGTTTGTTTTCTTGTGTTTGGATAAATTCAATGTCAAATGTCACCCCAAAATCAATAGGGAGAAATATATATATGTGTAATTTTTGTGGAAATCATAATATTTGCTTATTTATGTGAAATAAATCTTTTGTAACATTATATACTGTCACTTTTGATCAATTTGATGCATCCTTGCTGAATTAAAGCATGTATTTATTTCCTTCAATCAATCAATCAATCAATCGACAAATATTGCTGATCCCAAACTTTTTAACAGTAGTGTACATGTATATACTGTATATATAGTTTTTTATGATTTGTGACAGTTCATGTGTGTAGAATGTTGTTGTGGTCTTTTTGTGGATTTTAGTACACATGCTCTTTATTATTGTATGTCCTTATAATCAATTAAATTACTATAATATTAAAACACATGGCAACTATTAAGGATCTTCAGTATGTGTATATATCTGATCTAATTAATAAATGCCTTTACTGTCACTTTTGATCGATTCAGTGCATCCTTGCTGAAAAAAATACATAGATAAAATATATATAATCAATATGTAATATTATAATATTTTACTTAAAGAAATTTCAGCATATTAGATGTTTTAACAGTTAGCATAAGTTCAATTCATTAAGCAAACGCTACCACGAGGTATCCCTTCAACTGTACATACAAATATACTTTACAGTTTACATTCTGGGATTTGTAGTTCTCTTTGGCTGAAGACACGCACGACCCTATGAATTGTGGAACTACATATCCCAGCAGCATAAAGTCGCAACAGCTGATTGTCAAATAGGAAACTAACAATGTCTGCCGTGTGCGGAGACGGAAGGGTCTCAGCGATGGAGTGCGGAGATAAATCGTCTATGTGCTGCCCAAGGTACGTTTTAAGCTCTTTACCGCCTAACCTCGAAGTTATTAAGACTCCTGTTTTCTTAATTATGTGTGTGTACATCATTAATTTGGTACCTGTCTCGCGCGTGGTGCTGGAGTCACTGCTGCATCTCGCTTGTTTCTAAGACTTCACAACACACATGTTAATCATACACGTCTGGTAATATTTATAAACGCCTCCTAGAATGACAAGAAGTGTGGATACTGGTTTCGACAATAAGCAAAGGATTATGAAATGATGACCCTGTTTCCTTGTCTGTCTTCCGTGCGTCTCTCCACAGAATCTGGTCCTTAAATATGTTTCAAATGGCTTCTTTTTCAAACGTGCTGTGGGTAAATGTGTGTTTCTGCTCACTGTTGGTGCACAGCATATAGTAGTGACTCTTATTTGCATAGCTATGTAATATCATCATCCCCGTTATATCTGTGCACCGTTTCTCAGCCACACCTAATTATTAACTTGCATGTAATTAAACTACTTCCTGCACAACATGTGAACACAACCTGTAGTCGAGTTGGTTTCTCATGTATAGATAGTGTTTTGAACTAATGCATGGAATAAATGATGAAAGCACACAATGGTTTCCGCTATACACTGTAACTGTATTATAGTTTATATATTTCTGAAGCTGATCTCTCACTCTCTCCTCGAGTCACAGCTGGCTCATTCAACCCTTTACTAGCAGAGCTCATGTTACTGTATTTACTGTACACACAGCCAGCTGCTGGGGAATGATCTCCATGTGTGTAAACTGACATGTGTAGGACTGAAGTGGAAAGAGGACGTCTTGACCTTTGGGAGCGAAATCTAATAGGAGAATAAAAGGTTTAATAGGTTATTGTCACACAAAGAATCGTTCAGCACATAGACGCACCGATACATCCATGATTATGGATCAGCTCTTCTGGTTTTTGAACTATATATTTACTATATATAGGTTTCTATATATTCAGAAGTTTGGTAAAGTCAGTAAGATGTTTTTAAAGAAATGAACACTTTTGTATTTATAATTTTGAATGTATAATTGTACATTTATAATTCTTTCATTAAATTGATCGAAGGTCATAATAAGGGCATTTGTGATGAGAGATTTCGGTTTCAAATAAATGCTGATCTTTTGAACTTTCTATTCATCCAAAAATTCTGGGGGAAAAAGTATTGTAGTTTCCACAAAAATATAGACAGCAATCCCTTTTTAACATCAATAATAATAATAAATGTTTCTTGAGCAGTTCAGCATCTCAGAATGATTTCTGAAGGATCGTGTGACGCTGAAGACTGGAGTCATGATGCTGAAAATTCAGCTTTGCGTCACAGGAATAAATTACATTTGAAAATATATCATGCAGTAATCAGAAAACAGTTCTTTAAAACTGTTAAAAATAGTATTGCATATACTGTGTTTTTGATCAAATAAATGCAGCTTTGGTGAACATTTACTGACCCCAAACTTTTAATTTAAATAATATATGTATGTATGTATTAGGGGTCGACCGATATGTGTCTTTCAAGGCCGATGCCGATACCGATTATTACAGATCAAGTAGACCGAGAAGCGATATATATATGTCTGGTGTAAAAATGAAAATTAATGTCAAAATTAAGAATAACAAGGGCTCTGATAAAAACTGCCTTCCCTGGTGTTGGTTGAGTGTAGTACTCCCACAGTAAACTCTTTATTTTAAAGAGGTAAACTCTTTATTTTTTGGCAAACAAAGGGTTTACCATTCAAATGAAAACATGGAAGAAATAGCGAATTGTGTGATTATTCTTTTAAACAAAAGTTGTAATAATTGTTGTAGTAGTCAGAGGTTAAAGAAAAAAAAAAAATCTTTTGACTGAAAATGTTTCCTCGGCCAAACCCCATTCCTCAGCCATACCTGTCACACACCCAGTTTAAGAGCAGTGTTTTTCTTCTTGTAATCAAGAGCGCTTGTCCTCCTAATTAAAAAAAATTAAGGAGCACCTTCTGATCAATAATCAAAAATTCTGATCAAAAATTAGCCTTCCTAAAATGAGGTGATTAACAGGGGCATTTTCTTTTTATCTTTTGCAATGGCATCATTTTCATCTGTCAAATTCAAAAATGTATGTTTATAAGCTTTTTAAAATGTCTATTTAAAACACTATAATAAGAAGTAGAATAAGACAAAAAAGTTACCAATCATGAAATTAGTGTTAATGAAAAATTTATTTGTACTAGGTGGCACAGAACACAAAAGTGGCTTGTAGGTACATTTTCAGACATTCAATGAGGCTCAGAGGTGGCATGAGTGCAATTAAATTCATAAATTCATGTGGAGATTAATGTTTTAAATATAACATTTT